CCCGCCAACCCAGCCAGAGCTTATTTTCAACATAGCTGCTAAGAATGGCTTTCTCTGTGGACACTTCTTCTCCCCTCAGGCTTGTTTACTTCCCTTTAGACCTGAGATATTTAGACAATATCTTATCTCAAGTTCTCATCAGGTGGCTTAATTCACAGTCCTGTTCCTGTCAGAAGGCATATGCGAGGAGGGATGGGCTTCTGTGGTTGCAGATGAGCAGTTGCTTCTTTGCACATTTTGCTTAAGTGGACAAAAATCCTTTGGTGATTTTAACAACGTTTAAGCCATTAACTATAACATTTCAGTCTCTCACACCACATACTAGTAGCAATGGTCCTACCAGCCAGAAGTAGCTGCTGTGTATGACTCTCACAATAATTCGTGATCATGCTGTGGAACTGAAAGGCATCTTCTCTGTCCCTAGAATGATCCATGCCTGCAGAACACAGTCTGGTCACAGCCTTCCAGTGATATCCTGGCAGTGAGCTTCCATTTCTTAGGCAGGTAAACTCCTCCTGTCTTCCAGAAGGATTTGCTTGAGTAACTTCTGGCCAGGGTGTACTTAGGATATCTAAATCTACATAAAATGGCCATTACAGGCTGTGTATGCAGTAAGGTGCAGCTGGAAGATGGCAGCATGAAGTTATGGATACCTTTCACTAAAAATGCCATCTAAACAGCAAAGGGAACTGGCAAATTGATGTAGAAAATGTTTGCGGATGGTTAGAAAGATTTGGTGTCCCTTGTGCTGAAGTTTTTCACCAGCATTATGCCTTTCCCTGCACAGTTTGCAAAAAGGAACCATCCAAGTGCTGCAGGGCGAAATCTCCTCCTGGTTTAGGTTAAGGTGGCAGTCAGCAAGAGATGGCTTTTTTAAATCTTTTGGGGTGTTTGGAGTGTTTTGGTGGTTGAGGTTTGGGTTTTTGGAGGTGTTTGTTTTTATAAGCCACTGCAGAATGCTCTGTCTCCCACAATGTAAAGTATGAGAATAGCAATGTCCAGTTGAACACTGGCAAGGAACTAAAAGAGCCATGACATCTGGATTCACTCAGATTGTTTGCTCTCACTCAGATCTGTTTGCTCGGGGGATTCTGGTTACTGTTTGCAGCTGGGTATTTGTTTTGCGCCAAGTCCACAGCCTCAGCAGTGATGGTACCACAACATCTCCTGCAGGGCCCTTTCCCAGCTTCTGAGCTTTATTCCCCAGATGTATTTATTGCTATTTATTACAACTATGAGGAATCCGAATGCTTTCAACTGAGCACACTTCCATTTCTTTTACAAACGAGATTTACTTGGAAGTTGTAGTGTTTGGTGGTTATTCTTGACCAACTCTAAACACACTGTGAATGTTTTCAAAATATCGTTAGTGCTTTTATGAACATTTTAAGTCCTATACACACTATAAACACTATAGACAAAATGTTGATGCTTATGAAAAATATAGTTTGATTTGAAAACTAATTGTTTTTAATAGCATTTCATTGGTGTTGCTTAAAAGACTGCAGAGAAAAAGACTCCAGGCCAATTTAGTGTATAAGACAAAAGAGACGCCCTTTAATGAGTCTGTAGGCCTAGAGGAATACATACCACGCACGCACACCCAGACAGTGGCTGAATGATTTTATAGTAAGGTTCATCGAATCCCAGATTTGTCCACTCCTGGTTCTGCCCCCTGACACATCCCTTTGGGAATTGGGTCTGGGGGCATTTGGGACCCCTTCTTCCTCATTGTCTTCTTCACAGCACGGACAGTCCTTGGAGTTCCTCCAAAGTTCTGGGCTTGAAGGCCGCTGTGTGTGATATCTTCTGGTCCAGGCCTTCAGGTGTTTTTTCTACAATTCTACCTTGAAAAAAAGACTAAATATGCTACCGGAATTTTAGAGGAATTGATATGAAATAATGTAGTAGGGTTGGGTACGTGTAAACATTATGCTACAGGGTAAGGGATATAATACAGCTACATTAACATCCACATTCGCTATACATCTACTTCTAAAATCTATGAAAATTTAAAAAAAATTAAATTTAAAGCATATAGTTCCTGATTAACCCCAAATCACACTTTCTGCTGGTGGCAGCTGTTGCCGCCAGCATCTTTTCTGCAGGGCTTGGAACAGCTCTGGGTGTAGAGCTTGGATGATCCGTGTGGAGAGGGGCTGACGGGGAGACCCCAGGACCCTCCTCGTTCCCCGGCCGGGGCAGAAACGCGCTGTGGGCAGGGCAGGGCAGGGCAGGGCCGGGCCGGGCGTGCCCCGCGCCGGGAGCGGCGGAAGCTCCGACCCCGGACTGCGGCTCCCGGCGGCCCCCGCGAGCGTCTGCGCCGCTGCCGTGCGCCAGCAGCCCCTCCCCGCCCTCGGCGGTGCTGGGCTCGGCCCGACACCGCGGGAGGAGCGGGGCCGCCCGCCCCGACAGCACCGGGAGCCCGCGGGGAAGGCGCCGCCGCCCCTGCCCTTCCCGCAGCCCTGCAGCGTCTCCAGCCAGCAGGACCGGGCTGCCCGCGCCCGGGGAGGGTGAGTGGGAGGGCGGGCCCGGGCCCGCCGGAGCGGGGCGAGAGACGGACCGTGACGCGCGTCCCTGGGGGCTGTGGGGCCGGGGGGCTGTGGGGCCGGAGGGGCTGTGGGGCCGGAGGGGCT